ACACATGCCTTCGCAGGTACAGTTTTTTGGCGGCGTGCGTCTGGAGACTTGACCGGTCGCAGGTGCAGCGGGTCTGGTTGCATGGGGTTGCTGTACTCTGGAAGTCGTGCAGCTTGCACATGCAGTGAGCATTCAAGTCCTTGTTGTGCATGCTTGCAGGTTTTGGGTCCATAGCTCATCTGTGGTTTAGTGCAGCAGCATGGCAGAGGGGCCAGAAGCTGAATCCTTGGCAAAGCTGCTGGAAGCCGATGTGACGGTTCGGCGGCGGTTTCGAGAGCTGGGCCACATGACGAGATGGCCTAGCATTCACACGGTGGGTGTGGCAAGCTGCAAGGCTATGTCTTGCAATGCCAGGATTTTAGAGATCCTGGCGGAGTGGTGGTGCCCTACACAGGAAGCTCCAGCCATAGTGCCGATTGAGATCATGCGGAGGGAGGCGGGTGCATGTGGCTTGCACCACCTTGCATATATATGCATGCACTATATATTAACAGGAACCGACTTTGTTCACCGGCAGGTGAATGCCTTGCGTGGCCCACGCCACATGGACCTCAAGAAGGACCCGCTCCAAGCAGAGCTCGATGCGGACGGTCTTAAGAAACTGTTCAGTCACGGGCTCCGGCGCCTGAAGAGTGGGGCTTCAGGGCCCAGAGCTGCCTAGCTGAGGTTTCTGAATATTTTACGATGCAGGGGGTGATGAGGTCCATATATGATGCTACGTGATATTCAATCTAGCACACACACACATACAATATACTGGTGATTCACACATATGTTTGTCTGATGTGTATAATATATGTACACACAGAGTAATTACAACCCAGGACCAGACCCTTGATGATTTCTTTCATATCCTGGAATGGTATTGGACCCAGCTTCGTGAAGAAGATCCTGAGGGCCCTACTGAGTTGCTGATGTTGGAGGATGGTTCGGTGGATGATCCGTATACCGATGCTGCAGTGGATGCTGTGGATAGTTCAACGAGTGCAGCGGTGAATGACAACTCATCGGACGCTGCTCTGTCGGACGCTACGACCCTACAGCTAGCACCCCTGACGCCCCCAGCTTCCACAGATGATTCCCTTGCTTGCAATCCGGAGACGGTTCCTGAGCCACTGCCACCACCCGAAGCACTCCCAAGTGATCCCTGCGATCCTGAGCCAGTGTCAGCGCCCGAAGCAGTCCCAAGTGATCCCTGCGATCCTGAGCCAGTGTCAGTGCCTGCAGCTATATCAAGTGATCCCAACGGTTGCAATCCGGTTAAGGTTCCTGAGCCGCTGTCAGCGCCGGAAGCACTCCCGAACAATCCTGGGCATTGCAATCCGAACGAGGTTCTGACTTCCCACGTTCCCCCCACCCCAGCCCCACCGAGCTCAAAGAATCCAGGTGAAGTCGCTCAGATGTCACCGTCGACACTGAAAGAGGATCCTAGTCAGTCAGAGCCATGCACACCCCAGCAGCACAAGCTCGCCAAGCTTCCCCAGTTCCAGATCTCGGACCAAGAAGACCAGAGAGCCTTATTGAAGGCCCAGATGGACCAGCGCATAGCAGCCCTCAGGCCGGGAGACGGTTTACATGCTGATCTGTGTGTGCAGCATGTGTGTGAGCCCCTGCATTTTCATGGATTCGGATATAGTCCCCAACGTGTTAGAGGTACCAGATGGCTTTGAGAAGGGCTGAGAAGAGTTCCGATCGCCTTCCGGTTCCTCGGGGCCGCTTGTCGTCGCACTTAACACACGCATGGTCACAAGAGTTGTCTATGGAATATATATGTGTGTTACATTTTACATATACTCCGTACGTGCTGAGGTGATGCCGGCGAGGACACACAGGTGTATGATGCTGAGGCTGCGAAGGTGAGCTGGCTTTCGGTGCATGGGTCGGGCGAAGCACCGAAAACTTCGGAAGTGGACAAGCAACTTTCATCCGATTCGGTCGGGGTGCCTCCATCCGGAAGCCCCTCTCAGGTCCAGGTGCCCGCAGAAGCCCCTCAGTCCGAAGAGCCAGAGTCCAAGCAGGAGATCCCTTCTGAGGTAGAGTTGCCTATGAAGGAGCCGGGTCCTCCTGAGATCGATGGCCCTGAGGCCGTCCCTGGATTGCTATGGTGTGTTAATTGTGTGTTCGTGTAGTGTACGGTTTTCAACACGCATGCATATATACATATATATATATATATATATACATATATAATATTACACACTGTATGTTATTTTGCAGAATTTTAGAGTGTATGTGTGTGCATGTATATATACATATATGTGTATATATATATATATATATATATGTATACACATACATATATATATTACATTCCGAGATATATGTGTATACGTATATATATATATATGTACGCATACACATAATATATATATATATATATATATATATATATATATATACATACACACATGTTTATCTATACACATACACCATTCTACACTACATGCATATATATATATATATGCATGTATATATATATATATATATATACATACATACATACATACATTTTTGGTGTATAATGGCCTTTTCAGGTTCCCCTGGTGACGCGCGCGGAGCAACGCGAGAACTTCGAGAGACAAAAACAGGCTGACAAGAAGAAGAAGAAGACAGAGGCAGCCGAAGAATCGACTGCCGAGCCCGACAACCTCAAGAAGCCCAAGAACAAGAAGGCAGCCGAGTCGGCTGAGGACGCAGCCGAGCCCAAGAAGGCCTCGAAGAAGAAGCCAGCCGAGTCCGTTGAGGACGCAGCCGAGCCCGACAACGCAAAGAAGCCCAAGAACAAGAAGGCAGCCGATCCGGATTTGGACTCCGAGCCCCACGACGGCGACGAAGGCAAGACTGCAGGCAAGCGCGACCCCTCTTCCGGACGTGGCCGTGCTCGTGGTGCAGGACGGGGTGGTGGTCGCGGACGAGGTGGTCGGGGTCGAGGTGGCCGGGGCCGGGGGCGAGGTGCTTGCCAGACCGATGAGAAGGACGATTTGGATGAAGGTTCCAAGAAGCGCAAAGCTTCATCGGAGGATGCGGGCGAGGATGAGCACGACAATGGGACGGTGAGGTATTCGCAAGACGACGCAGCCGAGGCGCCGAAGTTACGCAAGGCCCGCAAATCCCAGCAGCAGGACCCACCCCAGAAATCCGAGGAGAAGGACTCCCCCAAGTCCAAGCAGACTGGCAAGAAAGACTCGCCCCAGACCAAGAAGCAGGAATCCAAAACCAAGCAGCAGCCCAAGCCGACAAAGAAAGCCAAGCCGGATGCTGATCAGCATGTCGACATGGAGGAGGAAGCACCTGAGGTGGCGGGAGCGACTCGCCGTAAAACCTTTGGTAGCCGCAGGATGCCTCCCAAGCCGGGCCTGGCGCTGGACCGTTACAATGCGATGGTGGCTGCCTTCCAGAAGGTTGTGGCTCCCAGCTGCAAGTGCCCGAGCACGTGGGAGGTGGGAATGTGTTTTGTCCAATACACTGTTTAGAGCATGTCATGTATACATATATATATATATATATACAAGCACATGTACATATTATGTGTCTAGATATACATATAGACATATATATATATATATATATATATTACATGCATGTGTCTGGTATATAGACATGTGTATATATATATATATATATATATATACATACATATATACGTATATATATACTATAGACATGTATATATATATATATATACTAATATACACATCCCTGTGCAGTACGACTTCTGGACCTTTGTCTCTCCGCATCTGCTCGAGCGGGCCATGGATGCTTCTGAGTATGCCAAAGTTGCACGCACTCAAGCGCGCAAGTTCCTCAACGAGAACCGTACCCTGGTCTACATTATGTGATGTCTTATATACTTTAAGCTCGTATATATGTATATATAGTCTATGGGCCCTTAATGCTCTGAAGCGCACAACCCGAAACCCTAAACCCTCAACCCCCTAAACCCTAAACCCCCCAAACACCCTAAAGCCCCTAAACCTTAACCCTACACCCCAAACTCTAAACCCGGAGCCCGAACATCCTAAAGCCCTCACTTCGCCCAAAGCCGCTGCTCCTGGCACAGGTGATGAGATGGCCGCGGATGCTTGAGGCTGATCCCGTGAAATTACTGATTCATGGGCTGTGTGAGTTGGGATGTGGTTTCAACACATCGACGATGTGCCGGGGAGGGGCTTTGATACCCCAACTGCGCATTTTGATTGCCTCAAGTGAAATGGAAGAGGTCGTTCCTGGTGATTAGTTTTACGTTCTCGAAGGTGTTCGAATACATTCTACTGAGAGGATTACACCATATATGTAAATGCCACCTGACGACCTCCTTAGCCTTCGCTCCGGAGCCGACGGAGCTCTCACATCAGTTGCTGCTCTCTGGAAAATGACCAGGTGGACCGCACTGCACTTGCCCTGGGCATCTGCTGCCATGATTGAAATATGATTGCAAGCCCGGTAAACCTTATGTGATTCGATGTCTCGCATGAATACCATGAGCCTCAATTCACTCTGCACATAATAACGGCCCAGAATTCTTGTGCACGCAGGTGCTCCTTCGAGCTCCCGATGGGTGGCCAGCGCTTCCTCGCAGCCAGGGGCTACTTTGAAAGGTTCACCCGTCTGCCGCGCATGTGTTGAGGGATTGCCGTGCATGCATGCACGCACATATATAGACGCATGTGTGTCGATCTGCATGCAGCCCATCTAAGCTCCGAGACCGCATTTTCTACATATTATCCTGGCCATGACTCCGGCCCAGAGAGACCTGGTGCTAAAGCGCTTGATAAAGTTTGGTGTACCCAAGGCTTGGTTTGTGAGAGTGGCATACTTGGAAAGTCGGGGGACTTAGTAAGTACTTAGTAAGTAGACTTAGGAAGTAGGCTAATCCCAATTAAGGTCCCCTTTAGAATACTTATGAATCTATATATACTTATTACCCACTTACTAAGTCCCCCGACTCTCCAAGTAATTATAGGGTGTGTTTTGAATGCTTCACGCGCATCCTGTGTCAGGAATTTATCCTTCTCTTGGTCCTGGTGAGCAGCCAAACCTTCGTTGGGGAAAACGTTCCGGTTTGGGATGTGGTTGATCTCTTTTGTGGTGTGGCTCGCATCAGCAAGCTTGCGAGCAGGGCCGGGTATCAGGTGGCATCCGTGGATATCGGCCTCATGCCGGCTGCCAATAAAATATCGATCCATTCCAAAAGAAAACAAGAGCCACCCATGGATATCACATCGAATGCTGGGTTTTCGTTCCTGAAGTTCACTTCAGAAACACTTTTAGCCTCTCTTTTTATGGAACTAGACATATCCAAAGAAACCTTTCCTGTATGCAATCTTCGACCCCGGAACTACAACAACGTGTAAATCTCTAGACTATATCCCAGCCTCTGCTTCAGTGTGGCCCAGGTTGGTTTGTCTGCTCCTGCTGCAAGCCAAGTTCCAGGAGGTTGTCTTGGTTCTGGGGCCAGTTTGCAGTAGTTTCGTCCCGGTCAATATGGGGACGAGTGGGCGCTCCATCCTCACGCCCACGGGCAATCCCGAGATAGGTTCAGTGACCAAAGCCAACGTTATTGTATCCCGGCCACTTGTCTGTGACATATATGCTTGGTCTAGGTGGCTTTAGGTTGAAGTTTAGCATGTTCCTAGCATCCCATATGTCACCACCTCAAGCCATCCAAAGCCCGACCCGAAACCCTAAACCCTCAACCCCCTAAACCCTAAACCCCCCAAACACCCTAAACCCCCTAAACCTTAACCCTACACCCCAAACTCTAAACCCGGAGCCCGTCCCAGGTGTTGCCTGCTTCTCCTCTTAGTCATAGCCATGGGTGGCACTTACATCCTTGAACAACCAGCAAGATCCTTGATGATTGACTACCCCAGACTGGGGCAGGTGATTCGAATGACCAGAGAGGTCGGATCCAAAGCTTCCAGTCGGTTTTCGCATAAAACCCGAGAGTCCCTACTTTTGTTTTAAATTATAGCATATAGTCTCCATTGTAGTTTATTTAAGGAGCTACCTTCGGGAATCCTCGACATAAAATATATATGGTTATCCTTTATAAGTATATAACTACAATGGAGACTATATGCCAGTGTTACTGTAGCCGAGGCTTTCAAGCTGAACTTTTGGATGAGAGCATATGGCTCCAAAAGCATGAAGCGGACCATGATCCTAAGCAACGATATGGCCGTATCTTCGCTACATCATGGCAAACTTTCCCGAAACCAACGAAGAGGAGCAAGACCGGCGGCTATATATTACAATAAGGATGGTGTCAGAAAGTTCCGAGGGGACACACGTCTCAAGGAGTCGCAGTGCCTATGCTGACATTATAACGTACACTATAACAGCAATAGATTTAATTAAGTACAATGCCCACCCAGCCCAGGACCTATCCTCCGGGCTTTGCGCGGGCCATCGTCGACATGCTCCCGGCCCTGCAGGCCAAGGATCGGCCGTTGGACGTGGAGGCAGGGTGCAACAGGGTTTTTGCATTACGACGATTAAAGTCAAAAGTTTCGTGATACTTCTGAGAAGCTGCGGACAAGTTATCATTGATAACTTCTAAGAACCCTAAAGCCAAACCCGAATCATGCAAGCCTGGATAACCATGCACTATGCTTCGACAGGCTTCGGCAGGTCTTGTGAGTCGTTCAGTGGGAGAACAGGTATACTGAAGACATCCCAAACATGTGCTTGGCTTCGGATTTTCCTGTGCCCGGGTCTTAGGTTTAGGCCTGATGTCGCAGTTATCCTTCTCGGGTTTAGTCAATTAACGGATATCATGATTGGATGTCCTCTGGCCCAAGCTCCACTAGTTTCCCCTCCCTGATTTAGAGTTCTAGTAGTAGTAGTAGTAGTAGTAGTAGTAGTAGTAGTAGTAGTAGTAGTAGTAGTAGTAGTAGTCGTCGTCGTGGTCGTAGTCGTAGTATAGTCGTAATAGTCGTAGTCGTATACCCGAAGTAGTAGTAGTAGTAGTAGTAGTAGTAGTAGTAGTAGTAGTAGTAGTAGTAGTAGTAGTAGTAGTAGTAGAAGTAGTAGTAGTAGTATAGTAGTAGTAGTAGTAGTAGTAGTAGTAGTAGTAGTAGTAGTAGTAGTAGTAGTAGTAGTAGTAGTAGTAATAGTAGTAGTAACTTTATACTTCTTCGTCTTGTTTTCGTCATGGTAGGGGTGCTGGTGGTGGTGCCTGTGATGTTGGTGGGGGTGGTGCTGGTGCACTCGGGCTGCTCTTCAGATCCTGGTCTATATACTAGCTTGCACCCCTGTTTACAAAAAAAAACAATGACAGCAGCAGCAGCAGCAGCAGCAGCAATAGAACACTCTCCTGAACAGCGGCCAAGATCTCCACTAGGATAATAATTATAAAGACTCCTTGATTATATGGCACAGACATATACATATATATATATATATGTACATCTACGGAATCCCAGCAGACGCCAAACGAAACCCCCAAATCCCTGAAGGAAGAAATTGAGTCCGTACTTCAGAAGCCAACGCGCCAACCGGCAACATATAGCCTTGGATGGCTCAGGATCTGTAGTGTATATATGTCAGCTCGAGGGCCATGAGGGTCCATGGTTTTATTTATTGGTTAATTTACTTCAATTATATCCCCTACATAAACCTTAAAGCCCGAACCTGGATTCCTATCTAGCTGCAAATTGGGTTTTGCTTCTGTTTGGCACACCCGATACAATTTGCCTAGCATGGCCAATGGTGGCTCTCCTTTTCCTGCCCTGCGGGTATGCAGAGTCGACGGGTGTACTGTTCAGTTTTGGCCAGGCAAGCATCACAGCTGCTGTTCTCTGTGTGCCGAGACTTCCGGAGCAGCACATAGCGGTCGATGCCGACGTGCTCAGAGACATCTACTCAGGGAGCGCCCTGAGACAAGGCAACCCAGGGTTCCGTGCTCGACCCCAACATGTGTCCGACTGACTGGCAACGGGTATCGTTCGTGCTGCTCGGTGTGTCATTCGACTGGTGGTCAGCATCATTCACGTCGTTGTCATCAATCACAACCGGCTCCTGCAGTGGATGTTGGCTACACAGACCAAAGGTTTCAAGATGCAGGATTGGGGGGAGCTGCTGCTCCAGACTTGCACTCCGCTCTGTTGCCTTTCGTGCCAAACGCGACTTCTGAAGAGGCCACTACTGCAGCAGATGGTGAAATGGAGGGTGCATTGACAGCCTGGCGACCTTTTGTGAATGACCCAGGGCAAATGCAGGTCAGCGATCCGTCCAGCAGTTCAGGCCACGCTCAGGTGGGCAGCAATAGTGCGACAGCTTCTCTTGCAGCAGGGCCGGATTTTGATTTGCAGGAGATGGACTAGTTCCTTCATGTGCAAACGCGGGTTGGCCCAACAGTGGTCATCTGCTCCCGGGACCGCTATATTCAGTGTGGAAAGGGCATTCAGGGTTCCGTGCTCTTCCTATGGCCCTCCTACATATATCTAGCCTACAATATATTCTATATTGTATTAGATGTATATATATATATGTCAGCCTATAATACAATAACCTCCCCAGTCAGATGTGTCTTCCAGAATAGCAGAGCCTACAAAACATAATTTAGTGATTAAAGCAAATCTTCTTGCTACCCAACTAGTTATGGTTGGCTGTCCTATATAGGCCCTGGGCCGTGGCTGGATACCAGAAATTTCGGTCACCGTGGTGGCCGCTACTTTGAAGTACGTCGGGCTGGGAAACAACAGTCCTAGATACGAATCTAAAGCATATTGGCCAAGCTTGCATTAGCCTACTGTGTCCACATAAACCTACAAATTCCAGGGTCCTGTAACCCCATATAATATTCCCCGAACACGAAGTGCCAAAGCCCAATTTCTTTGAGAGCCTGCACGCAGGTCGATGATCGTGATCTTCTCTCCTGTGTTGCGGAGATGTGGTGGTCCGAGTGGGAAGAGGCGTGCCTGTGGCCTGTGGTTGTCTATCTTCGTGGCTCCAAGTATCTCGAAATGAGTCGGGCTTGGAAGGACTTGATGCCCCGTAGCAGGTTCCGGCTTTGAGGCTGAAAGGCCTTTGTGTGCTCGGTAAGGGCTCGACAGAAGGCTCAGTGGCCCGATGGTTTTTGAAACGGCGTAAAGACGCGTGCAAAAGGCGTAAATCGCCGGCGAAAAGGCGTAAATAGGCGTAGGACCTTTTCCAGCTACTTTCCTATCTTCTGTGTAATCCGGTAACATCCTCGTATGCTACACCATAACCCTGTCGCCCGAAACATGGTGCAGCCACAACCCCGGAACTGCCGTGCACTGCCCTGAACCTACCTATAGTCCTCAGGTACTCCCGAATCATATTCTTGATCATACCACATCCCAAGCAATCCTCGGGAACATCCTGCTATGCTACAGCATAACCCTGTCGCCCGAAACATAGTGCAGCCACAACCCCTGAACTGCCGTGAACTGCCCTGAACCTACCTTCGTCCTCAGGTACTCCCGAATCATATTCTTGATCATACCACATCCCAAGCAATCCTAGAGCAGCCCTCCTGAAATCTGATGTCTCTAACACTCAAGAGGGTGCGAGCCTCTGTCGTTGCCTGTGGCTATCACCAGGAAGCCTGGCCGTGACCAGTAGTTTGTCCGTGCTGCTTCCACCAAAAGGAAACTGAGCGATTCCTCGGATAGCATTACTTCTAGGGAAAGAACCTCCTCACCCTATACACAGCAGATGATGTAAATCCTGCGGTCCTCGTATCATTCAATAATTATATTCCTCAACTATTAATATACTTCGTTTCCTATAGAGGTTATCGCAGGATTTACATCATCTACCTATCTAGAACCCATATAACCCTGTAGGCTCTCGCAGGCACAAGATTTCTATTGTAAAGTTGCCTCCTAACTACATTCCTGTTCGTCTGAATCGAGCCAGATGTGTTTTGTGGTGTTTTGCAGGATCTTGGCTTTGCTGCAAGCAGAGTTTTCTTCTAGTGGGCAATATGTCCACTTCAGGTTCTGATGCTGACCTGAGGAAGGGCCTGCCTAGCCGTGCATGGTCCTGTGACACCCTCGCTCGGGGCAACTCCTTCGTTGCGCAGAATGCATACATGATGCAGCTAGGGGACTTTTCCAACCTTCCCGATGATGAATTAGAAGCGGAGCTTCTAGCCGCTGGTTTTGCATTACGACGATTATAGGCAGCCTCACAGGCCCACCCGAACGAGCCCTCTGCTCCAAAACCGAAACAACCATCCCCTAAACAAAGATTATGAACCCGAGGCCTCCAAGCAATGCCACACTCTCAGACACACACCTCCTCCTTAGAATGTGCTGGCCCCAATGCAGTTGATCATGCTAGATGTGTTGTATACATGTCACCTGGCCTTCCAGAGAAACCCTCAAACTTAGTGGTCCTGTATACTTATGCCTATATGCATATATATATATATATATATATATATAGTATTTGGGGGCTTTTGGAAGGTCAGTGTCTGTATACACACTGTTGCTGATATTTAAATCCTGCACTAGCCTATACATTCTAGTATAAATCCCATATACTTCAGGGTCGTTATAGTGATGCAGGATTTATATATCAGCTACCGTATAAATATATGTATATATATATATATAAACATATACATAGATACATACATACATACATAATATATATATATATATGTATATACATACACATATAGTACTGTCCGTTTCTATATATATATATATAAACGGACAGTACTATATGTGTATGTATATACATATATATATATATATAACGATTGGGTACTGCGCCCATACAGCAACTCTCTATAATAGGGCTAGACTCCTAAGGGCCTAGATATATCCATGATGTATGTACATATACTTAAGTGTTGCTGGACGGGGGCAGTACCCAAGTATGTGTATATGTTAATAAATATATATATATGTATACATATATATTAGACGTATGACACAAGAGTAAGAAGACCTCTTGTCTGGGCCATCCTAGGAATTGGAGGCTACCCGGAAGAGCCTCGATGTGGATCCATCGGTGCCTGGCGGCAAGGATGAGTTCAAGAAGACTGACTTGCTTGGTGAGATGCCTACGTCGCTTAATCCGCCTCCTTCGATTTTGAAGTGTTCTACAGGCCCTGCTTCCACCCACTCTTCAGTTCCCGCAAAGGGCACCGAGGCCACCAATCCCGGTCTGCAAAGGCCCGCACAAGAGGCCCAGATGCCCAGCAACCTGGTTCCCACACTGTGCACTGCGCCACCCAAGCCGAGTGAGCAGCTGCCCACTGCAGAACCCCAGAAGCCCAGCGAGCCGTTGGCAACAGAGTGCCCTGAAGACCCCAAGCCGAGTGAGCAGCTGCCCACTGCAGAACCCCAGAAGCCCAGCGAGCCGTTGGCAACAGAGTGCCCTGAAGACCCCAAGCCGAAAGAGCAGCTGCCTGCTGCACAGCCCCAGAAGCCCAGCGAGCCGTTGGCAACAGAGTGCCCTGAAGACCCCAAGCCGAAAGAGCAGCTGCCTGCTGCACAGCCCCAGAAGCCCAACGAGCCGGTTGAAGCAAAGTGCCCTGAGTGCCCCAAGCCAACTGAGCAGGTGCAGAAGTCCAAAGAGTGTACTGACGCCTTTCAAAAGCATCTTGACAGCCTGTGCACACAGGACACGCACGAGGCGACTCAGGTTGATGATCCGCGGGATGCTCCACAGCTCATCGCTCCCAAGAGAGAGACGTCGACTCCTAGCCCGCAGAAGTCGCCTCTGGATGTTCCCGTGCTGGGTGACGTGTCAGCTCCAGAGATGCCGCGGGTTGGACAGCACACGTTGAGCAAGGCTGCCATCGATGCCCGAGCGCGGAGAATCTTTACGCTCCGCTCGAACGGGCAAAAGAAAGTGAGTGAGCAGATCTGGAACGAGTGGCACAAGGGCAAGGGATCCAAAGAGCGTGCAACTTTGGAGCAGATCTTTGCCCGCTGTGGGTATTCGCAGGACCGCGGGGTGGGAATGATCGGGGCTAACATGGCTGTTGCAATTTCTATAACAGGATGCTTCGTAAAGGTTCCAGGGTTTACTAGATCTCGAGGCTCCAGGGTTCAGAGGATAAAGGCTAGCTTCCATGCTTTCTCCATAAGATGCTCCATTTATCTAGGCCCACACAGGTTAACTTGCTCAAGTGAACATGCGCGGACGCGGATATGTTCTGTATCTTATTTATATAGTGATCTGTGTAAAATCACAAAAAACATACATCATGCTTGCATGTATATGCATATATATACATATATATATATATACATATCATCATGTATGCACGCAGGAATATTCATATCTATGCATGTGTGTATATATATATACACACATGTATATGTATAGCTCATCATGTGCAGGAGGTCTTCATCTCAGAGGTGGAGGTGCTACGGGAGGAGATGATTGAAAAAGATGTGACTGTCGAGGGCCAGTTTATGAGCGAGGCGGCGATGCTCGAACAGGGGATCAGTGAGCAGCGGCGCGATGCAATTAAGAAACATTGCCGCAGCAATCCACGGCAGCTCATGAGGACAGAACTGAACGGGTGGTATCATGATAATTTTAGAACCCTGCCTCTAAACCTCACATGCACAGGAGGGACACCTACGAGAGGAATCTCATGCTCTACTACGTGGAGACGGTGATCAAAGGCCACTTCAAGCAACTCTGAGTATACATGCATGTGTGTCGATGTATATATACATGTGCAGTGTGCATGCATGCCCGGCTTCGACTGAATCCAAATGAAACCAACCGTACATCTCTAAGGCAGAACCAGAAGATGATCATGAGGAAGCGCGCCCAGTGGGAGGAGGAGGGTGTCGACGGCCTCGGGACCTTTGAGCATGAAGGAGGTCGCTGTCCCAACCACCTGCATGCGGGTGCTATGGTTCACTTTATCCTGCTTCCCTATAAATCATGATGCTAATCGTTATAGTTTGGCCAGGAGAAGATGGACCGTGGGAGCCCGAACACATAGAGAACATCTCCGATGACGAGGAGATGATTGAAAAAGAACAGGAAATGGAGGAAGCCAGGAAACAGGTGGGGCTTCCAGAGTATGATCCCGACCAGTGCATGGTGACCTCGATTCCCAAGTTCCAGACACTTGTTATGAATAGGTACATAAATACAAATAGTTAGAGGTGCTACTCCTTATATGTCGTAAGTCTTTGTCATGTAACATGAACTTAAGTGTCCTGGTGCCTGGCAGCTGGAACCTACATACATGATTTCGCTACATGATCTAAACCAATCATGGACCTTCGAGGCTGCAACTCTAGACACAAGGTTAGATGTTAGCTTTCCTGTCCGTCCAAGACCCAACTAGGATATGGAAACCCTCAGAACTAATTCTGTATAGTTTTAATAATTATGGTGGTTTCCGGATGTAGGGATTTCGCGATTTAGAGTTGCTGAGTCTCTTAAGGGCTCACGAGTTGATGTATAATATTCAGATAAACAGAGGGCGAAAAGGGGTCCTCAATATAATACAGGAATCCCAAAACCCTGAAGCCCCGAATTGTTGAAAGCTTCTCGAGGCTTGAGTCCCAGCTTAATCCAATTAAGTATAATCAGGCCCATGCTATCCTAGTGCCAGGAACCTCACTGGTGTTGTTGCATATACCTATACCGTCCCTACATTCCCCAACAAAAGAGTATCCTACTTCAGGCCTTTAAAGCCATATACTAGCAGACCTGCCCGAAAATTGCCGAACCCCATGTCCTAAATTTGTGAAAACCAAAACTGAAAATCTGAAAACTCCGGAAACCAATGAGAATCTGAAAAACGACGCCAGAGCCGGAGCCCAGGAACGCCTTGAATAAGCGGATCAGCAAGATGAGCCTCCTGAAGGACAGGTTCGACAACAGCGGCCAGCTCTCAGAGACGCAGGAAGAGCTGCATGGAAGATTATATGGAGTGGGATATAGCATATGTTGACACTATAGACTGACTACTTGCCTGGGATCCTGTATAAGGTTTAGATCTGCCATCGCGAAGAATATCGAACGCATGAAGAGCATCGACGTGGAAATTTCAAGCCTCTACTCCAAGTCCGTGGTTCAGGGCTTCTCCAAGGCGTGTCTTAGTTCAAGCAACATAGGCTACGATCTTTTGCTTGATAACGAGTTCTAATTTCTGAGGGCTTATATATGATGTATGTAGCAGCAGCTATCTAAGGTCGCAGGCAGCAGCGCGCGAAAAGATGACTGAAGCTCAGAGTTGGTCCCTTGGCACGAGTCCTCTGCTAAATTGTATGTTCCGATTCCTGCGATACTTTATAGCTCGCATGAAGCCTTCAATCCTAGGGCTGCAGAGTCCCTGGGCCTCGAAACCCGCTGCAGGCCGGTGGCCCACCAAACTTATATACCCCTGTAACCCCGAACCCGCTCGATTCCATATTGCTGGCAGGCCCTTCATGCCGAAAGCAGTGAAGCCCAAAGCAGCGCCGAAGAGGGAGGTGAAATCCAAAGCCAAGGCCAAGGCGAAGGCTGTTCCGAAGACTCGGCCAGAGCCACCTGCTGCCAAAAGGCAGAAGAAGTGATCTTTTGTGGTTTCCTGATGTGATGATTTGCAGCTGCCTATCTTGCTTCGAAGTGAGCATGTGCGCAGTAGAGTCGATGTTGCGGTAGGTTCCTGCCAACAGCTCTAGAGTCTGTCACACACATGTACGATGTCTTGCAATAACATGCACATATCCTGAAGTCTTGTACGAAACGTGTGTTGTTTCGAGGTCTTCAAAAAGCTGTTGGAGTGAACCCTCTGTAGGATGCAGCCGTCAGACACATTCTGATGAAGTGTTTCGACAACTGTGTTAATGGTTCCTATATAACAACCTGAGCTTAAAGTGTGTTTCAACCTGCTTTCCCAGAAACCTGCTGTAAACCTGGTCTAAATTCTTAAGAATCATTGCACACAGAAGCCAGCCGATTGCATGTACCGCTTGTACAGACTGGTACGCCGTGCACAATTCATGTACGATCGAAGGGCCGGCTCTTCTGGGAGAGCAAAGAAAACCTGTCAATCTGACCAGACCCTGCATTTACGGTCGTGCATGCAAGCTAGCACAATGTATGTTTTTTCTACAGTGTCTGTTGTCTCACATGCCAGGTCAGCTGGAAGAAGAACGGCTTGATATCAATGGGCCTGGGCATTTTGCCGAAGCCTATGCTGAAGCCTTTGCAGATTGCGCTGCGGCCTGAGGTATTCAATCATCCAATGTTCGTAATCAATCTTTTAATACCACTCGACCCAACAGCCCGAGTGTATACCCCCTTGGCGAATCTCAAAGCCCCGAAAACTTCCGAGATGCTGAAGTCTAATCTATTTCTAGATCTGACATTACCAGGTCCCAGCTACAACACTGCAGACCTTGGCAGCGAATGCCAAATCCGATGCGCACCCAGACCTCGGCAGGTCTACGGATCCGACACAGAATCTAGGTAGGGGAAGTAATTTATTTCTTTTCGTTAGAATGCAAGATAGAAGTTCTATGCTGTGTTCATATATTATGAATTTTTGTCGGCTTAGGAATGCTTTTCGTGATGCCGATCGCTTTGTGAAAAGATGGGGGCTGCGTTTCAATATTCCAATGACAACGTACAAACATTCCTCGGAGTACGAGGTGCCCTACCTTTCTCCTAGGGCACTGCTGACACACCATTTGACAAAGGCGCCGGAGCTACTGTTTGGAGGTGTGCACGATCTGGAGGCCGCCAAGACCCTGCTTCAGACGTTTTGGGATGCATACAAATTAAGTCACCCTGAACATCAGGTCTTCAGTGAAGCTGGTGCAGGCACCGTGCTGTTGCGCACAACAATTCCTGTTCTTTTCCACGGGGACGAAGGAAGGGGGATCAGAAAAGGCAACACAACAGTGTGCTCCCTCGAGAGCCCTTTCGGCCTGGACAGCAACACTTCACACAAGTACGACATCATGGACTGCTGCCAAGAAGATGCTGATGATGTTCTACAATGCGACTTTCAAAACTTGAATCTGAAGTTCCACTCTTACTTGACCAAGTTCCTCGTTTTCCTACTCCCTGGCAAGATTTACAAGAACAGCGACGTCATGACAGGGCTTTTGGAAGTTGTATTCCGAGACCTCCGGTCTCTTTTCTACGAGGGCATCGTTGTTGGCAGGCAGGTTTTCAACGTGGCTTGTGTGGGCTGTAAAGGAGATCTGGCTTGGTTTGCCAAGCTTGGTCAGCTGGACAGGTGCTACCTTCACCTGTCTAATGATGGTGCACTGATGTGCCATGAGTGCCTGGCTGGAACCCCTGATAAGCCCTTCGAGGATTTAACAGCAGCGCCGGCTTGGTCAAGTTCTATATATCAAGTGCGTCCATGGTCAACAGCGCCAACGACCGGACTGCTTCAGGTGCCGTTCGACAAAACGAAGCCCGAAGCAATACTTCGAAGAGACATCTTCCATAACACCAAGGTGGGCGTTCTGCAGGACTATATAGCTAGCAGCATGTTGCTTATTGCCCATTTGGGGTATTTTGTCGTGCCTGAAAGGGTTGGCAATGGTGTGGACGCTACACTGGGACGCATGTTTGCTCACTTCAAGCTGTTTTGCTCTGCAAAGGGCGCATCGCCGAACATGCATGGTTTCAACAGGAGCTACCTGAATGCCAAGACAAAGAAGCATTATCCATGGGCTAAGTGCAAAGGGTCCGATGCCATGCTTTTGCTGGAATGGCTGAAGGTGTTATGTACTGCATGCTTGAACAGACTCCTGAAACCCGATGATGCAAGGCTCCTCGAAGGCATCCATACAGGGGCTACTGCAGCTCGTACATTTCTGCACAGCATGTACCAGCATGGCTTGTGGTGGAAACAATCCTGTGCCAAGTTTATCTTACATCATGCCAACAGGTTTTTGAAATGCTACCATTTCATGGCTTATGTTTGCCTACATGAGCTGAATGGTTTCGCTGGCTTTGCCATGAAGCCGAAACTGCATATGCTGTGCCATGGTGTGCACGAGATCCGAGAACGCATGCCACACAAACGGCAGCCGTCATCCCTCATGTTTGGCTGTGAAGCCAATGAAGATTTCATTGGCAGAGTTTGCCGCTTATCGAGAAAAGTGCACCAGCGCCGTCTATGTGAACGTGTGATTAACATGTACCTGGCAAAAGCTTTTGCCCTTCGTAGGAAGTACTTGCGATCCCCACAGTGTGGAAAGAAACGCAAGCGTAATTAAGGCCCGGGCCTTTCGATGGTGGCATTGGAGTGCATGGCGGATAATCCGGATGTCGTTTGTCCCTATATAAATTAACCTTAAAGGGTGTCGACCTGCTGTGTAACTCACGTTGGATACTGCCCTCGATCAGGTTGAACTCATGAGAAGTATACAACACATATAGCCATACCACACATATAATACATAGTCCAAATTTCATACCTATATATATATATATATATGTATATATATATATATATATATCTTTATATTTCTGTACGGAGGCAGTACCCAACATATTCTAGACCCCCTATACCTATACCTGTATAGGTCACTCGATCTAGATTTCCGGAACGTTCTGCTCCGCTGTGCGCAGAAGGTGGCCGCCAAAGTGTATGTTGGGAGATATTCTGAGAATTTTAGTCTTAGAAGTGTTCGGGTATAAGTATAGTGTCTTTAATTAGATCTCCTGCTGTCTGACTTCTGCACATGTACAGCTGTCAATTCGCACCAAACTTCGAGAGCACAAGCCGGAAAACTTCGCGAGGCTCTTGGCCGCTTGAACACCTCCCGGAAAGACTCTCAAGCCCAAGTCCCTAAAGTAAGATCCTCTCCACTAGGCCAAATGGACCTGAACTTTGGACACTTTTCTAGATGGTCCCGACAGTATAGCTAGTCGACCCCTTCCTAAAGCCAGTTAATGCAAATAATGTTCTAACACCTCAACATATCGCCAGGCTGAACGACAAGCAAGGCCCTACATCCCCGGATTAGTGTCCCGTGCCTGCATCAAGTGAATGTAAGCCACATAACCCAAACCTGATAATCAATAAGCAGCTATGACAGAGAGGTGAGGCCTGGGCTATTGGTTTCCATTTGATGGGTCAACGGTCCTTTCAGGTTCGGGTGTTTTTCTGCTGTGGCCTTCTGTCCAATGCGAAGACACCAAAACCCGAAAGGATGCTATTATTTAGGGTACTATATTGGCCTAGGGTCCTCTATTTTCGGAAACCCTCATATATGCTATATATGGGTTCAGGTCTATAGTCTTCGGCTTTGAAGTGCTTTGGAATTGAGTTAACGAGTCCAGTCGTGATTGCCGGCAGTGCTGTCACAAATTTCACTATGTCCATCATGGCTCCAGAAACACCATGGCCATTGGCATGCATGCGCGGCGGTGTGATCTGTTGGAAACCACGAGACAGTCTTGCGGCATGCGGCATGCGGCCATCCATCCGTCCATTCTACCAACCACAACCATCCATCCATTCATCCATCCATCCACCTATAAATCATCCACCTGTCCATCATCCACCTGTCCATCCATCCAATGATGCATCTGTCATCCGTCATACACCCATGCATCCATCACATGTCTTGCGCATACACATCATGACGGCTGTATGGGTGTCTTGTCTACTATCAGTCCAATGTAGGGCATGACACTTTTGAAATCACGGCTGTTGTCCGGCAAAACCCAGCCAGAAATCGAAACGACTCTTTTTAATTGAAACGCCTGTTTTTAATCGAAGCGCCTGAAATTAGTGTTGTTTAGCCAAACGCCTAATATTTCAGTCCCCGGATTCTATAGGTAGTCATTTCTTGGTTGGCGGCGACGCTGCGCTGCGTCGGTTCTGTCTGCAGCATTTCTACTTGCAGCATCACGTGGCGCCGCCCCCTTGGTGGCAGGGCTTTGAATGTTGGAGCCTGCAGGAGGTGCTCGGCGTGCACCGCCCAGGGCGTGGGGATCGAGCCGTTTTCTCCTTCGTCTGGGAAGATGGCGATTAGCTCTGGCATCTGTAGTAGGTGCCCGTCGCGTACTTTGTGCTGCATGATGAACTGTATTAGGTTCATGCCGTCCGCCGGGGTCGGGGCGTAGATGACTGGATGCCATGCTTCCAGACCCACTCCGTCTGGATCTGTTGGCCCGGTTTTGGGCGGTGCACCGTTGAGGATCTTGATGTGGAGCTCGGATTCCAATTGGAGTGGATCCCGCACTTTTTCGTTGGGGTGCTGCTGTAGGGCTTGCTTGCACACGGGTAGCAGGTGGTAGCCGAAGGACCGCCGGCCGCCATGGCTTACCTGCAATTGCCAGAGTGTTTCCGTTCTGGAGCCGTCGTCGAAGACGCCGACCGTGCTTCCCCAGCGCCTCACGGTGGCGACTAGCTCTGAGCCGTCGCCGTTGTTGCCGTTGGTGGCTGATCTCGTCGGGGTTGTGGAGGTGATGGCACTCGCGCAAAAGCGTCGTCGCTTTGCGCCGTCTGTGCTCGTCTTTATGGGCTTCGACATGGCGCTGCTGCCCCCGCTACGTCTTGGCCCGCTCTGGGAACCTTTCGAGCCGCTGCTGCGATGCGATGGGCATGTTAGCCTTTTGGTGGATGTTGCTCGTGCAGCTGTCTGCCAGCGGGACCATAAGTTGATGGCATGCGTCGATGCTGCACTGACAGGTGGAAGTGCTACATCACTCTTTTCTTTTTTTTCGGAGCCTGGTTTTTTGCCCGGATGCTTTCCTCGTGTTTTGGGTCTTAGGTTCGTCGGCTACGTGGTGGTTCCTCTGGTTGCATTTCGTCGATCTCGGCGTCTAAGTTGTCGGGGTCCGTCTCGTCCTTGCCGTCGTGGTTGAGGATTGGAAGCGTCTTCGCCCTCTTTTGATTTATCGTGCTCTGGCTCATACGTCTGGAGTGTGCTTGTCAGGTGTTTGAGCATCTGCACGTGTCCCAACCGGCGCGCCACTGTCAGAGGTGTGTGCCCGCGGTCATCCCTGGCGTTCAAGATCGCGCTGTGTTGCACGAGTGTCAGTACCGGCTGCACGTCGGGTTGGGTGCAGGCGTAGTGCAGAGGTGTGCGGTTGCCTGCCCCGGCCACGTTTGGTTGTGCTCTTGCGTCCAGGAGCATCCGCATGACTTCCCAGTGGTACCTGCCGGTGGCTTCGAGGAGCGGCGTGCTGCCCGTTGTTGGGCACTTTAGGTTTCCGTCTGCTTTGGCCCGTAGCAGGAGCTCTGCCACGTCGGTGCTGTTGTTCGTGGCTGCTTCGTGCAGGGACATGCAGTTGCCGTGTCGTGTGGTCTCCTGCGGACGAGTCTGGATGCTGTGGTCGTCGGAGGATGGCCTCGACGGTGTGCGCTGACCCGTGGCTCACCGCATTCAGCATCTCGGCCTCTTGCTCTTCGGACACCGTGATGTAGGGGACCAGCACGAGAGATATTTGTTTGATCCCGGCGTGTAGGGCGTAGGTCTCTGGGAGTTCGTGGTTTGACGTGCTAAGTAGCAATCGCTGTTGATAGCGCGGGAATCCGAGCTGCTGCTCGAGGTGCGCTTTGATTTGTCGGACTGTGTTGCTGTCTTGCGATATCTGCAGCTCAGTCAGCTTTTCGCCGGTTGCCGCCGTGAGCACCGTGATCAGGTGGCACGTCGAAGCCATCGGGACGGTTGAGGGTGGCGTCAGGCTTGTCTCGTCTTATTTGTTTTGAGCCATGTGCTACAGCACAGAGGGTCGCTGGCAGATTTTCGAGCAGGTGTCGCTGCTGACTTCACGCGGTGCGGGGTTGCTGCGCCTTTGTTTCTGCGGCTCGCCGATTGGCATCTCGCCCTTCCGCTGTCGTGGCGGTCCTGGTGCGCGCGGCGTGGCGGCTGGGGCGTGTTGCGGTGCTTGCCTTCGTCTCGGTTGGAGCTCGTTGGGGGCTAGGCTAGGCTTTGCTTGCGTAGAGTGCCTTTGTCGCGAGCTCTCTCTGTTTTGGGTTTCCTTATGTCCTTTTTGCTACGCTGCTTGCAGCGCCTCGCCAATGAAGGGCGATCTGGTCTGTTCGAGTCTCATGCGCCGAGCTTTTCGATTCTGCCATGCTTCGCCTCGGAACGTGGCGGCGGGTTGTCCCGACATGGTGGCACTGCATGACGGGTGGTTTTGGGCAGTGTCGTGTTTACTGGCGTCATGCTAGCTGGATGCAGCTCGGCTGCTGCGGTGGCCTGGTTGCACTCGGGCGTTGAGGATCTTGGTCGTTTCGCCGGCGTTGTCACTGCGAGGTTCGGCTGGTCTGTTCCTATTTCCAGTGCTGCCGGTGGTAGCCAGTACGGCGGTGGCTCGGGCGGTTCTTCTTGTTGTCGTTCGACGAAGGCGGCCACTTGTCGTTTGAAGTCCCACAAGTCTGGCAGCAGCGTGTGTCCTGCTTGCGGCTGCAGCTGCGAGGCGAGGCACTGCAGCCAGAGCGCGTCTGAATCGTTCAGGTGCATGTGGTTTGTCAACGTCCGCACCTGTCTCGCAGTCTCTTCTGGCATGTGTCTTAGCTGCATTGGTTGCTGTATGTCGAAGTGTGCCGGGAGCTTTCGTGTTCCAGCGACGAAGGCATTGGCTATGCTCTGTGCGACGTCGCTGCCGTAGTGAGTCGCCATGGCCGTTTTTGTCGCGTGCGCAAGACGGACTTGGGGCTTCTTTTTGACTTGAGCATGCGGCAACACCTGCTGCGTGGAAAGCTGCGGCACTTCGTTTTTTTTTGACGTGGGTGTGGAGTCAGCTCGGCGTGTTATGCGGGTGCACTGTCGACCATCTCACGTAAGCATGAGAGAAGAGCTCTGCTTTTTGTGCCGGCGCGGCATAGGCAAGTGTCTCAGTCGCGCTGCTTCTCCCGGCTGTCGTCGTCGGCCTGAGGGACATGCGTTTGGAAGTTCTAGCCGACATCTGTGGCTGTTCCAGCCTTCTGCAGGCGGTTCAGCAGCCGCTTGCAGCCGCAGCGATGCATGAAAGTGGTACTTCTGGGCAGGAGCTGCAGCGGAACGCGTCCTTGACTGTCCGTGGCGTTGATGTCGGCGCCCTTTTGGGTTAGCATCTGCATGAGGGCTAGGTTGCCTTGCGTAGCTGCGATGTGCAAGGCTGTGCAGGACTTGCTCGGCTCGTGCTGCATGGCACCGAGCTGCAGGAGCAGTCGTGCTTTTTTGGGTCGACAGTGCAACACCGCCACGGCCAGAGCCGTTAGTCCGTCGAAGTTTCTTCGCTGGCCTAGGTTGGCTCTGTATTTGAGTAGCAGTCC